AGTTATTTCAATTTTTCAATAAAGACAAGCCATCGTGGCATGATTGCGGGTTAAAAAAAAAAAATAAAATAAAATAATTAAAAATTTAAAAATTGTCAAAGTTAAAATTTATAATAAAAATATAGTAAATAGACTCAAACTTTTGGAAGCAACTATATTTATACTTAAAAATTTTTTTTAATTTTTATTTAAAATTATTTATTTTACCTATAAATTTTTAAAAAAATATTATCAAATATTTGTTTATAAATATAATTAAACAAATACATGAAAAATATATAAAACAAATTAATTAATATTGATAAAAAAATAACAATAAAAGATTAATTTAACTATTTATAAACAAATGGATAATTGGATTAAAAAATTTTAATAATTTTATAGAAGCTTGTAAAATATAATATATATATCAAAATTATATCTTTAAGAATTATTCTTCAAGATTCTATTAATAATTATATAGAAAATAAATAAGTAAACTTTATTAAAGAATATAAAAAAGTTTTAAAGAAAATCCGAAATATTTATTATATCAAAATAATAAATTAAAAGAAAAAATCAAGAATTATTTGGATAGAAAAATGAATCAGAAAAATCAAACACAAAACAATCATTTAAACAGTATAAGATCTGATAAAAGTAATAATAATTATTTTAGAAAACAAGAATCAAGAAGACTCAAGAACAAAAGCTAGGATTGATATCTTAGAAATTGTTGCAAATTTGATTTGTCATGGAATTACAGTAAATAATTAAAGTTTTAAACCATAGATAAAACTTTGGATAATCTATAGTAATAACCTGTAGGTAATGATTTTACTGATTAAAGGTTAATTCAAATTAATGAAACAATGAATTATCATTTTCCAAATTATTTCTAGAGAAATAATTTTTTAGCAATGAGTGAGTTAACATGCGAAAATCAAAACAAGTTGTAAATATCCTCAAAATATTATGAAATAAAGACAGGCCATGTTAACCTGACTGTGGGTTCGATAGAATATAGATTTTGGAATCCAAATTAGTTTGAACTAGATCCGCCCGTATGATGTAAACTAGAATTATAGTAAAGTGGTTATTTCCTTGTATTTATATGTTTGACTAATAAAACGATTTCGCTATTTTAATCATGAGATAGGAAAAAAATAAATAAATAATACAAATAAAAATACTACTATTCTAAATTTTATATTAAGCTCGAGTATGTATTTTTGCGGAACGTAACATTTTTTATTGATTCGAGCAAGTTGTGAAAAAACTCTATGCCTGAGTATAAATGTATAAATACTTTGTTTACTGTAAGTTTTGAAGACCGAAATTGCAAAAAAATTTCCTGTAAAGGAATATACTAATACTGTAAACTATTAAAAGATCCTCTATTTTTATTATTAATTAGGTAATTATTAGTAATTCCTTTTAATAAATCTGAGAATGAACACCACAATCCGTTATGTCTTAATATTGTTTTATATTTAACAGTATGTTCGGCCGTCAGCATATTGTCATTGTTGTTTTATACAGTATATTAAAAAATAAACAAATTATCTGATCGCCTAGCAAATAAATTATAATTCCATGTATCTTATCAATTTTAGTAATATGAAATTTCATATAAGCACGCCTAATTACCAAATCAACAAATGTAAGGGACCGACTCGTTGGGGAAATAGAAAATGGAATTCAGGAGACAACTTTTCGTTTGCCACGTGAAAATCTTACTCCATCAGTGATTCGAAAAAGATTTTACGTCCAAGTCGAAGATTTCATATTCCATATCGCGCACCGTTTCTTTTAAAAAAAGCGACTGCGAGAGAAAATAAAAAAAATGGATATTTTATGTTCACTTGTAACCTACTGTAATTTAAATTATCAAAAACTCATTATAAATACAAATGCATACACTAATATTTACCAGCTTCCTTGAACAATCGTTTAATGTTTAGCAATCGTTGTACAATATCTAGTTGGTTGGTGAGAATTTTGTTCAATATAAATATTATTTGAGGGGCTGCAAACGTTCCCGATTTATAGAACAGAAATTAAAGTTATTTACATGAGTTACGTGCAACAAAAATGGATCATAACTTTCATAATATTTCGTGACAATATATGCAAGAGTTTTTGCGATATTCCACAAGTATATTTATATTTGTATATCCTATGAAAATTGTCAAAAGTTGAGCAGTCGTCTCCAGCTCACAAAACGGTTTCCTTATTTATTGGATCAACTATAAGCGAAGCATCCATAAGAGTTCCTCCAAGTCCAAACTCGATGATATTACCCCGCCTGCTGATGTAATGAAAAAACATTTACTAAAAAGATTTTCTTCCGTGGTGAAAAAATCTAGTCCCTTGCAAAGGTCTTGTGTTATTTCCCCTAACTTCGCGAAGGAAAATTCAATTTTGCCTTCGTCAATTAGAGTACAAATAAATAATGTATATACAGATCAACCCTTAAAAGGGAAGATAATAGTGAGAAGGAACTCTTTAAATAGCAAGCAGTTCTCGATTACTGAACCTTCCCTGGTTCAAGGTATTTCTTTTGACAGAAAATCGTTTTCTTTGCAATTTATCTAACTTAAATTTAATGATAAAATTTTTTGGAAACAAGGTGGTAATACAACATCGATGCTTACAACACGATCATTGAATATGTCTCCATCGTCTCTTGGGCTTTCAATCAGTATAGGAGTGTTGGCTGTAATATCTTTCGGATTAATTTTGATAATCTTCCTTCAATTCTACAAACCCAAAAAACCTTCATCAAACAAATCTGCAGATATTCCCCAACCCTTTATTCAAAGTCATACCTCTTCGGATCAAATATCAATGACTTCTTTCGACAGAAAAGGTTCCACAATTAAAACCGATTTCTCGACGGAACAGAGCAACAAAGTATCCTCTGATTCATCCTCGAGAAGAACTTCTGTATCTTCAACGTTAGTAATTGAAGTAATGACCGATACTTTATCAAATCTAATCAAATCTCAAGGTGGTAAGATTGAGATACCGAATCCCGCCTCAAGTTCAACGAAGACAAACAGTCTGACTATATGCAATGGCGAAATTGCTTTAGTAAAAGTGAAATCATTATACGATGATTTTGACAAAGGGGAGCAAAGCCATAAAGATAGAGGTGGTATCGCAGGTAACTTAAAGAATATGGTAAAAGATTTTTTGAAGAACACCCGAATTGTTTAACTGATCGCTTGAGATATGTCGCATCTTAACGAGCAAGTATAGTGTCTCTCATTTTAGACTTATTAAACCTTCACAAAGTATACAAAGTATAACATTTTAAATAACATTAATTACATTTAGCAAAATATATGCTATTTTTGTATAATAATTTTTTAAAAGAATGTACAAAAATTTTCTAATTTTTATATTGTAATCAAATTAATTGCAAATATCAAACGGACGATTTTTAAAGAAGCAATTTAATAAATCCCATTAATATTAACTCGAAAACGTTATTTTAAGTGTGCGTATAATGCATAAGACCTTATTGGTAAAATAATAAACAATAATAATTATAGAACTATAAATTATAAATCAAGTAAGTATATTTATACTGTATATACAGAAAAACCTCCTGAATGAATCCACTATGTTTTTACTTTCTAAATGGATCCCCGGATAAACATGAGGAGGCAGGGACAAAAGTCAAATGATCCTTACTAGAAAACATTAAAAATTTTAAATTAACAACTGTAAAAAAACTATTTAAATAGTTTTTCATTGTTTTTTTTTTCTTGAGGATTAACAGAGACTCAATTCATTGAACTTAATGATTGCCCTCCTTTCTTAATAAAAGTACATGTAGGGGATTACATTTAAACAAATTCTAACTACTCTTAAATCCTAATTTATATTCTTATAACCCATACATCAATAATCACATTACTTACAATAACCTATTTTTTTGACACTTAAGATGTCAGCCCCATATGGCATATTGACAAAAGGAAACTCTACCACCCTTCTATACTATACTTGAATTATTTCATCAAATAATTATACCATATTGAACATTCTGATTCAAGACTCATTTTAGTATCTCATTCTATCAAGTATTCTTTGCACTATATATTATTATTATTTTTTTTTTGTATACCTGTAGCCAGGCTAGATCATTATTTTATTAATCAAATGAAGACAAAAGTACATTTTTATTTGAGCAGCATGATACATACTACAGCTAAACTATTATTCAAATCTAACTAACTCGTCATAAGCATAAAAGCCTCTAAGT